TCCAGAGGGATTTCTGTCTCTGGAATGCTAGGATTAAAGGCGTGTGCTATCACTGCTTAACTAGTGGCTTTTCTGTTCTCTGACCCCAGATAAGTTTATTAAGGTACACAATATTTTGGGGAACACAATACCACCACACTCTGGTCTCCTGCCTTCTGTTGGAAATCAGAGAGCCCAGATGCAGGCTTGTGCTATGAAGTCCCCACACTTCCTCAGAGACCTATTTTTTAAAAAGGCCCCAACTCCTGCCTCATGATCCTGATTCTATTGCAGAGTACCCACCACATTCTCTGTCTCTAAACTCTTCAGAGCCTGCACCATGCTTGTATCTATTTGTTCACAGTATTATTAGCCCTTCTTATAAACTACTTACCCTCGGCCAGGTGATGGTGGCACACACCTTTAATCCCAGCACTCGGGAGGCAGAGGCAGGTGGATCTCTGTGGGTTTGAGGCCAGCCTGGTCTACAGAGTGAGTTCCAGGACAGCCAGGACTGTTACACAGAGAAACCCTGTCTCGAAAAAACAAATAAAATAAAATAAAATAAACTACTTGCCCTCAACAATCCATCTCAATGTTCCTTTGAAACTCACATATAGTCCTTTTCAACTCTATTTCTTCATATAAAACTATTCTGTAAGTATTTTTTATTAATTTCAATGGAAACTTCTGATAGTATAATTGCATTAATACATGTATTATGCATGGGTGAAGCATATTAGTCAGAAAAGAAGTAAATATGTATAATACATTTCTCTTGTGCCTGACCACTATACATGCTTAGAAATGAAAAAGGAATAAATTTTAACAAAGCAATGGAATTTGACTCTTGAGAGACTTAAAAGCAGTTCTGTAAATCTTTGTCAATGGAAATATTAAGTGATTTACTGTGTTTGAAGTAGATGCATTCCTTTCTATTAATGAATGAGCTAATCATACATTCATTTCTTGGTAACCTACATTACAGGGGTTGAACCATAAGAGAAGATTCCAAAAATTATGAATCTAGGAGTTTGTGCAGGATGATAGTCCAGCTGCCACCTTCCTCTGATAAATGGGAGCAAATACTCCTGGGTTGGGGGGGGGGCAGTAAACTGATGCCTGAGATCCTACCCTGCAGGATACAGCCTTTCCAGGGGGACGGCGACCTCTCGGAGTTTGTAGTTCTGAGAATGCACCCAAGCCTCTCTGTTTGTAGACCTTTAACTATAAACACATACCACAAACCATGATCTAATCAATCATCTTTTAACTTCCAAGGCTTGTCCTTTAACCCAGTTTCCATTTAAAAAGTACTAGCAATGCAGAAACATGAAAATATTTACTTTTTGCAGACACAGTAAACTAACCAAAATATCAATGAATGAAGCACTGATTGCTGCCATTTGCCTAAAAGAGGGGTGTTCAGAATCTTTTTTGCTGAGATCTGGGAATTCCTCAGAAGGTTTCTAGAGTATCTTTGCAGGTTGGCAAAGTAAGAACACAAGGTGAGCAGGATTCTGGGTCTCCAATCTCTGTTTTAAGCATTATTCTTCTGCTTTTATATATTGGGTTCTCAAGTAGGTTTTTGTTGTTGGTTTTTGTTTGTTTTGAAGATACAGCATGATGAAAAGAAATGAAACTGATATCCACTGTAGTGGGTAGCCATTAATTTCTCCAATAATCCACTGCAAACACACACACACACTGAGATAACCTAACGATTACAACCTTATAGGAACAAGCAGTTACCTTGTTATTTTTTTTTTCCCCCAGAGCTGAAGACCAAACCCACACAGCCTTGTGCTTGCTAGGCAAGCACTCTACCACTGAGCTAAATGCCTACCCCGCTCACCAGGTGGTGGTAGTGTATACTTGTAATCCCAGCTCTTGGGGGGGCAAAGCAGGAAGATCTCCGTGAGTTCGAGGCCAGCCTGGTCTACAAAGCGAGTTCCAGGACAGCCCCGGCGGCTACAAAAAGAAGCCCTGCCTTGAGAAACAAACAAACAAAAAAAAAAAAATTTTTTTTTCCTAACTTCGTCAACTTCCATGAGAACAGAAACGCAGGGGTCAAGTCCAGCAACAATTAGTACAGGCTCTTTAAGTTATCGAGTCAGCAGTCTGCTTTCTAAAACTCAGCTTTGGGGAGTTTTTTTTTTTTTTTTTTTTTTTAAGTTACCAAAACTTCGGGGACTAGAAGGTTAAGAGTGGAGAGGAGAAGCAGGGCACGAACGCGGCCGCGAGCCCTGCAGTGTCGCCTGGCCTAGGGAGAAGGCGGCCCATGACAGGCACTCCCGAGGCGCGAGCGCTCTCCTCAGGGAGTCTGGGCGCTGAGTGTCGGAGGGTACCTGACTGCAGGCGGCCGGTCCACAGCCCCCTCCCGCCGGCCCGGCTTCGGCCGGGTCTCCGAAAAGCCAACGCTCTGGCCAGCGTCCACAGCATCGCCACCGCAACCGAGTGAGTGCAAGCCCGCTACCTCCCACCTTGACCTTAGGACCCTCGGCCAGCCC